GTTACTAATATAAAAACAATACAGATGTGAAATTCATGCTTTAGTTTGTTTTCAACAACATTAGTTTAGATGGAGTCTTTGGTGGTACAGTAAATCCAATGCCATCAGCTCCTCAGGTGAGCTCAGTCTGGTACCCTGGGGACTTTCCCGGGCACACACTGATGTGCCCTTAGAACAGCCCAAGATGCACACTTCCATCACCCACTCGTGTGCCAGGTGAAAAGGTGCTATATTTGGACCTTTGTACAATTTTGTTTTCTCACCAAAGTACTTTCAAAAGACAGCAGCAATCTTGGAAACAGTACAAATACACAGTTAATTGGTGTGTGAACTTCTGAGTTCAAATAAGGAGCTTTTAATCGAACAATGAACCAAAATATCATAAAGTATACAATTAGAGTCAGTTGCTCTGAAAAAGTTTCCATTCCTTCTCATTTTTTCTGGAGATCAAAGGAAGCATAATTGAGGGGAATCTTGGAAGCGTGGCCAGTTCTAGCTGTCTCTCTGCCTGCCTGTCAGTGATAACAGTCATTTTGGAGTTAGCCACCTCCTAATTAAGCAGCCTTTGGACACAAGGACCCAGGGACAAATGCTGGCTGGGTTTCTGCAGCCAGAATCTGGCTGAGATTTTCAAATTTGTGGTCTGATTTCTGTAGGACGATGCGTGATTTTGGTGCTACGCATCTGTGGATCTTGTGGGGCAAGAGTGGGGGTGGTGCCCTCATGGAGCCCCCAGGATGCCAAGCAGAAATGATTACTTGCAATTGTATAGTGGTCAGGCCCTGAAAAGTTTTGCCTTTGGACCCTTTTTTACTGCAGGGCTTTGGAATCTTTATTTTCTCAGTACCTTGAGCCTGAGCTCACTCCTCTCAACCCGCCCCCATTCTGTTTATTGATGTTTGTAAACTAATTTTAGTAACTCATCAGGAACTGCACTCAGGGTAATTGCATACCCCTGAAACCTGGCAGGCACAAGCCATGGAATTTGCTGGAAAGAGCTGCCTGGATCACTATTTACAGCCTCCTTTGACTAAAACCCAGGTTCAAAGTACTACTTTTCAATTGAAAGGTCTTCAAGGTTTACATAGACCAGGGACCCCAGAAAGATCCACATTAGTAAGAATGGAAAGGCTGTGCAACTATGATTTTATAACAGTGGGGTTGTAGTTCCCCGGAATGATTTATTAGTGGGTGAGGAATGCTACAGCAGCTCTTATCATAGGCAGGCAAGCAGGAAGGCAGGAAGCCAAAAGAAGAAGGGCTCCTGTCACTGCCTTTTCGGTGATGTCCTTGATTATAGATACCATTGTTTTGCCTCTCCCCTCCTCCTCCCTAGCCTACTTCTACCAGTCTCTAATTACATCCTCTAATGATCTGACCAATTAAAGCCTACAGTTCAACGTCTAGGGGAATGGATGAGAAATTAGAGGTTGGCATGCAAACTTCCATGTGGATGCATTTCTTCCAAGGTTACACACCTCTATTAAGTCAGCCGGCTATTTGAAAAGCTGCATAATGGGCAAGGCTAATAAAATAAGCGCAGGGACATTGCAGCTGCTCCCTAGTGAATATGCCAGAAGGACGAAATGTGAAAAGCAAGGTGTATCCATGAGACCAGGGTTTGTCTTGTTTTTTCCTCCCCTAAAAACACAGTTGCCAGCCACATTTTTCAGTTAATGTGAAATGTAATAATTGTTTTGTCAGGGTTTGGGAGAAGCGGGGAGCTCTTTTTCCACCCTCCTGCCTTTGCCTGGGATGGAAACCACCGCAACAGTGCTGGTTGCCATGGAGGTGGGGACCGGCAGCACTTTGCTTTCAGACGCAGCTCTGAGAGCTGGTGGAGCCCCTGGAGATGGTTGAAACCCTGCAGAGCCATGGGAGTTCAGGAGGAAGTGGGTTGCAAAGAATACTTGATGCTCTCCAGGGATTTGTGAGGGAAAGAGGAAGAGAGAACATCCTGTTTCTTCTGCAGCAGAACATGCATTTATTACCTTGACTGATGGTATTATTTTTAATCACTTCACTCCTCACACTCTGTTTCATCCTCCTAAAGCTGCTCCCAGCTCACTGAACAACTGAAGCAGTTCCTTCTTATACTTTTTCCAGTGATTCTTTCAACTTCTCTTCTCTACAGGTCAAATTTTACTCATCCTCAGGTTTAACCAAATCTGTTGACAACCTGTTATGTGCCAAGTACCAGGGAAACCAAGATACACGAGGTCTCAGTCCCTGAGACCTAGTAGTCTGAAAATTGTCATTCTATGGTAAGAAGCATGACATGAGCCCTGAAAGTGAGAGGTCTCCAGGGGAAGGTGGACAATGGGTTCTCTGGATATGGTCATGTCTGACCCAGGGGGGGTGATGGGGAGGTGAAGCATGTTGGGCAAAGTGCACAGTATGAGCAAAGGCACAGAAGGCTCTGGATTCAGATGTAGTAGGAAAAGCAAGGTGAGTGTAGTGAGAGATGTACTGGGACAGAAGCAGGGATTAGACTGGAAGAATCTGTCCTACTGTGGAATTTGGATTTGATCTTATTTGCAATAACAGCAGTGAATAATCCTGTAGCCTACAGGTTTCCAAATAGTTCCAGTCCTAACAATCTACACATATCTTTGGGCTGGATAAATTGTATTACTGCTATTTAATTCCACAAAGGACATAAGAGACAATCTAAGACCCGACAACTGACCAGTACAAGGCTGTAATATGACTTGTTCATCTGGGTCTAGGCAATTGTTGCCCACACTTAATTGTACTCCATCCTAAAACAGGACTGACCACACCAATGTCAGAAGGCTATAGGTCCTATCAGAGTATCTTGCAGCTGGGAAATGTTCAACAGATTTACTTACTGATGCATTTATATTATTGATATATGATTGCACATAAAGAAGTATATATACCCAGAGAAGAAAAATGTTCCACAAGACATACTTTCCTTAATTCTTTACTTCATTTTCTGATGTGTTTGGATGGCTGTCCCTTCTTCTCTACACCGTCTTTACAACTTTTTCTTAGAGTCTGATTCTGCCTTTAAACTATTCTATGTTGATAATATTCTTCTTGTTGTTTCACTGTGCTATGCCACTCCTTTTAATGCAAAATAAGGATTCTTGAGGCTTTTAAAGGAAACCTAGAGATTCTTTGAGTCCCTTCTCTGATGAGCCTATCTAGGAGCATTCTGTTCTCTCTTTTGACACCACTTACAAGGAATAGAAACAACTCAGCACCCTTGGGTTACTCTTAATTCTAATTTCAGGTAATTTACAAGGTCTGGAAAAGTCCTGTGTTGCTGAAATAAAATCTGGTTCCCTGGGTCCCATTCCTTAGGTTTCACTCACCCCCCAAACGCCCTTCTCACAGTGTCCTATACCCTGGGACATGGAGAGAAGTAGCCTAGTTCTTTGGCCTCTGTGCCTCAGCTGCTTTTCTGTACGATATCATGTCTTTTTGCCCTGATTTCTTAACAGACCACAGAGACCTTCTGCAAAGCACTTCTTGGGTTTGTTGAATCTGGTGTTGAAGACAGTCAGTGGGGAGAGTCTTTCCCTCTTGTCTCACTGCATACCCAAAGTTGTGTTAATTGGCACTTGGGCACCGTCTGTCATGTCTTGTTGCTTAATTAAATTCGCATTTGTTTTAAGTGTTCCTTCTACTCTGTTATTTTTTTTATGCATGAGAAGATAAAAACAAATGAGGAAAACATTTTATAGTTAAATTAGTTTGAGGGAAACAGTCCTGAATCATAACTCTTTATCACTGTGATAGTCTTGTATTTAAATGTCTTTGTTTTCCAACTAAACCATAAGCCAGTTGGTCACTGTCCTTCTGTTTTCTACTAATACCTTGTCTTAGCCTTGGATGCTAATTTCTACTGCCTTTTTAAGTTAGAAGTATAATATTAACAATAATAATCTGTATGCCAATAAAGATTCACATCTTTCAAGATCCTCTTGTATCTACAAGCTCAATATTCCTCAGAATCTAATTGATCTTTCTTTTCTTTTACTGTCCCTGATACCATTTGATAGTCATTCTCCTATGATTGCAAGTGAGATATTCAGCATGGATCAGTTTTATTTCTGACGTGAATTATATTGAATAACAAAGTGTCCATTTTCCAAGTAGGTATGTATCATTGCATTATCAACTAACCAAGTTGTTCACAAATGTAAAGGAAATTTCACCAACTTTACCTTGGTAAATTGAGGAATTGGGATGGAAAAACTAATAGAAATGTATAAATTGGAAATTGAAAAAAGGTACAATAGATATTGTGAAAGGGAAAGAAATTCTTCAAAGAGAAAGAACAAGTGGCATGAGGGAAAGGAGAAAAGGAAAGAAGGGAATATCTACCTACCTATCTATCTATCTATCTATCTATCTATCTATCTATCTATCTACCTATGGATGGCTGGGATAGCTGGGATAAATGTACTGTTGATGTCTAACAATGTACTAGTTGATGTTTAATTGATGTCTAATTGAAAAGAACAGCTAATGTTTAAATTTTTTTCGACCAATCTGAACCACTAATTTGAAGACAGCAATATGCAAAATAACAATTGGTGAATTCCTTCCATCTTGTTTACTGAAGCTCTGTATTGTTTCTATTTTTTAAAATTATTTTCATTCTATTTAATGGTTTGATCGATCTTCCATTCTTACATCGGGTAACCTGAACAACTTCATTAAAGATAGCAATATGTAATACAACAACTACTGTTAGTTCCTATCATTTTGTTTTGAAACCCTGTGTCATTTTTACTGTTTTTGCTCTGTTTTGTTTTTGTCTATGTTGTTGTTATTTTGTTATGTTTTAAAAAATTCTCTTTAAAATAAAATAAAATAAAGCCCCATTTGTTTAAGGTTTATGTGGTCAGATGGAAGATGAAAATATCTTTTACCTAAGGGTGAGATTTGGGAGGGGAATTAAAACAGTATTGTGAAGTTAGATATTAAATATTATAAAGCTTACTATGTAATTAATGAGTACTTACCTGCATTAACAGCTATCCCATAGGCAACCAGCTTGTGGAATTTGAGATTTTTGTCTAGTTGCCTCCTCCAAGGTCCCTTACAGCACTGGAGTAACAAAAAGTAAGTCTAATGTAGGGGGCAACCACAGCAACAACAGCATCATGAGAGTTGAGGGGGGACTCAGACTTTGCCTCTGAAAAGTGAGGCTGAGGATACAAAAGTCAGTGGCAACTAGGCGAACAACAAAGCAAAGCATTATTATACTTAATTTTTGGAAATTTCAGTTTGATAAAAAGAATTGATTTGGTAATTCTCTGGTTATAACTCAAAACTTTTGAATAAACCCAATATCTATAATTACTCAGCTTCTTTATTTAGAAAATGAAGGTGAGAACATTAACCTCAACTATGTGGTTAGCATAATATATAACTCATTCCTTATTATACAAAAAAGGTGCTATGTGCAGCTATAGTATCTAATATTCATAAAAATCATAATTATATAATAAATTATAACATCTGGTAAAGATTGTTCAAGTTTTATTTCCTATATATTACTCTGCTTAACAGGAAACACAGATAGGTATAGTGAAGCCTATATAAATAGAAAATGTCCCATTACTACTGTTAGAGGTCGGAATTGACATCCTGAAATCCAGCTTCTGAGACTGTGATTGTGGTCAGACCTCAGATGTTTCCTGGGTGGCATTAGTGTGACCCGCTTGTCACACTTAGCAGAAATGCTAATAGTCCAACCTGTTATAATGTTTCCAACTCCTTAGAGCAAATACACCAGGAAACGGTTGAGCAATGAGTCCATGTCACATAGGAAGTCAATGGCACAAGAAAAACTCAAATCAGATGGACCAATTACTTATTTGTATTTTTAGCTATTCTAATCTCTCTTGCAGAGAAACAAACCTAAGTTTAAACAAGATTCATGGACATTTTGCAGTAAAGTACATCTTTGTTTTCAGTAGCACTTGCATTAGTAAGTCATAAAACTGAGATCCTTTCAAATGTTTTAGTACTTACCCTACTTGTTCCTCTCACAAATGAGATTAGGTTTCGACTGACAGGTAACAGAATTAGCATGCAGTTGAAATTCAGGCACAGTGCAGATGCTCGTGCCCATGCCAGAGTCGACTGTCCACAGGTGAAGAAACAAAAAGAGGTGCAGTGAAAACAAGGAAGCTTGAGAATCGCAATGCATTTTGTTTTTTAAAAACAATAATGCACGATCACCAAGTCTACTTACACCCAGAATAACTCGTGTGTAGAAGAAAGACTCCTCCTCTTCATACCAACAGAATGTGTCGACGAACAGAAACAAATTCACTCCAAGCCATGAGAGCTAGACAGTGTGTGAAAAGAGCCAATTAATACCATCTTCAACCTTTTTCTCTTCTCCAAATCACCTCAGGTTCTTCTTTAAAAATTAAACGAAAAGCTTCTCAAGATTAATCAGAACTGCTCCATGTATTCATTTCTTCCAGATTAGTTTTAACAGGTGCTTACAACTATTAAGTTTCTAAAATAAAGATTTTACATTCATATGGGTCAGCTTCAAATAATGTAATGAAAACATGTAATCTCCTTTAGTCAACATTGCTTGAATGTAATGACAAGAGCAAGGAGGGACTCCTTAAGGTTCTCTGCAAAGATTCCAATTTCATTGATTAATTCAAAGCTTTCATTGGATTTACAGAAACTATGCATATATTCTGCAAAAACAAACCACTTGATTTTAAAAATAATCAAAAGGGAAGTCAATCGGACAACTTTTCACAATTCTATATGGGTACACTAAGTATATCTGTTAAGTGTTTTCTTATGTTTTAGTCTTTTAATTAAAGTAATATTTCACAACTTTTAATGCTCCTATACAAGTCATCCTAAAATATCAGAGCCTCCTTATATGGGTATACTTACTTTGCCACTGAGCTATATTGCCAGCCCCTCTTATATGGGTATATTTAAAGCTTGGTAACAAAATATGATACTTACTACTACTATGATGGAGAGACTCTCATTCAAAATCCAGCACACCGTCATGACACTTTTCCTCTCTTGCTACCAGCCAATTATTCCTTTCAGTCTCCTGTGCCTGAATTTTGTGTGCTTAGTAAGGGTTTCCCTGCCAAATTATTTCGTCTTTTTGTCTTTGGAAGAACCTAGTGGGAGCAGCTCTTGAAGAATTTCTAATTAAGAACTGCTTGCCAAAGGCACATCACCACTGTGACATGCCTCCTGACCTGGGTAAATACAAAGCACACCTCTGTTTAGTGATTCTTTTCTTCAAAGATTTCATAAGAAAAGGAAGCTCATTTTATTAACTTGTCCTCATGTACTTTATATCCCATTCATTTTCTACATGATTGCAGTCAAGATGATAATAAGCCTGTATGTAAATTTAAGAAATAATTGCTAAAAGATTAATATGGAAAAGTGCTTTCACTTCAGCTTTCTCTAGTTTGTTTATTTTTACTTCTTTTTTTCCTTTTTCTTTCAAAAAAAGCTCTCTACAGAGGACAAACAGTGAGGCCCAAATAAATATGGACTCAATAATCTTTCATAATATGGCAAAAAACAATATTCTAAAAAGAAATCACATAGGAAAACTCTTGTAAGTCTAAGTGTGGCTATAAGAAATAATGTAAGCTCTTTTTGTGGTGGGATAGATGGAGTTCCTAATTCTAAATCTACTTGGTGTACCCAAGAGGTAAGCAAGAATATGTCTTTTCATACTTTGGCTATCCGAGGAGTGGCTGCATATGAATCCGGTCACTGTCTGATTTTGTGTATTCTGGGAGGCAGTTACCCGGTGGAAGAAATTTTTGACTAGTTCTGGTCCAAATATTTTATTTAAAATTTATAGTTAATTAAGATGAAAATGGGAGTTTTGAAGATTTTGTTCTGTTGTTTTTCATATAGACCTTTTTAAAGTGCGTGTCTACAATACATAATGAATACATTCATTGTAAGCAACTGGTATACATACATATCACAGTTTTCTGCTTTAGAAATACATAAAAGTATAGGTATTTTGACAGTATTAACTCAAGATTAGAATACAGTTAGTGAAATACCTTAAGTAGCTTCTTTAATCATGAGAAATAAAAAGAAAGAGAATCTTCATATTAATTTCTTTAAGCCAATAATCTTCCATGATGAAATGATTTGTTATTTCTGAAGTGCTTAGGATTTACATATCTTAGAGGTCTCACTCAGTTGGGTTATAAAAGTTGATTCAGGGAGAATTCATCCAAAATTTTATATTATTTTCTACTTTAGATTCAGTGAGTATGCAGAAATACTGAAATTTCCTGTCTTTATATACTCTGCACACTTTATTATAAGTGAGAAACATGTATTGCTTGCTATGGATTGGATCTCAAATGTCCTCCAAGGCTATGTGCTAAAGCCTTGATCATCAGATTGTGGCACTGCTGGGAGGTGGTGCAACATTTAGGAGGTGGAGCCTAGTGGGAGGAAGTTTTGATGCTGGGAGCAACCCGTTGAAGGGAATATTGGGACTAGGCTCTCTTCCTCTCTTTATGTCCTCCAACTACCATGAGGTCAATAGAACTCCTCTGTAGCCAAAGCCATGGTACCAAGCGACCATGACCTGAAGTCTCTGAAATGATGAACCAAAAAACATTTCCTCTTTTTAAATTGTTCATGCTTGGTGTTTTATCACAGTGGTAGGAAGCTAACATATGCTAAAGAATGATATGTGAAATTTATTTTTAGTTTCTCATAATATTTCCAGTGCTTCAGTAAAATATAATTTAAAAATTTATGTTTAACCGATAATCTTTACAGCTCCATCCTTATTTCTAAAATGTGATTTGTTTATTCTTCATTTTGAATATGTAAATTATATTGTATTAAAATTGCTACTATACAATTGTAGCATACAAAAATGGTTAATAGTTGTATTATGAAGGTATAACTCATCCCTTAACTCTTCATAGATTTTATTTTTATAGACTTGATAGATAGATAGATTTATCTTATTTTGTAGACTTGGAATGATTTTTACCCCAATCATCAAAGAAACATGTAAATTTTAATTATATTAAAATTCATTCAGAGCTTAAAATTTTTGTGTAACTGATGGACATATATTTTCTTCTCAACTCTTCTATTTCCATATTTAAGAATAACACCATTGATTAGTTTATATAGTAGTATTGGAATGAGTTAGACTTTAGGAGACACAAAACATGTCATATCACACACTAAAATACAGTTTAGTCCAAACTGTTGGATTCTTCACAGATGCACTCAGTTTTTATAATAAAGCATCATGTTGTTCTCATTATTTCTTAATTTACCTAGTGAAAGTTCAGAGATGCATATCATACCCAAAAGTTCTGCCTCAGTTTTGATTTCACTGAAGGATTCTGTACAGATAAAACTTGAAATCAAGACTGAGTTATTTCCAGAGAACTAGGGACAAATTAATAACATTAATAGCTGTTTATAGCAAGTTAACTTGCATTTAAGGAGGAAGAGTATTGAACAAAGTCTACTGAAATTATACGAACGCTCAGAATTTGATCTATTTTTATCTAATTGTTTTCATTGCTAATTAGTAGTGTCTATCTCATTTCTCAGAATTGTCTCAGAACAAAAGAAATGACATTTGCCTCACTTGTTTCCAAGGTGCTGTCTTTCTAATGCAATGAGTATACTCATGGGCTCTTCCATTCTACCACAAACAATGATGTGGGCCTTTATTTCCTCCTTGTAAAGCTAAAAATAACAACCCTTCTATAATGGCAAAAGTAGAGGGGAAACAGAACAAATAGATTACAAAGGTGGGTTAATTGCTTGTATACACGAATGCAAACTCTGTGCAAACCATGCGACCTTCCTGAACTGGGCTTACTTCACTGTATTTTTAGTTCTTTTTAGTTTCTTAGTTAATCAGTTCACCCAGTAAAGAAACACTTTGATCCTCAAGGGCAAGATTGATCACCTTAGCAGCTTTTTGCTGCCGCATACTAAAATCAAGATTCCCTGTAGATATAGCAGAATTCATAGTGTATAAAAATAGCACTGCCAAATTATCCTCTCTAAGCCTTAAGCATGTTCTTGCCTTTTCCTAAGTATTAAAGTAAAAAGAAATTAGCAAATGTAGAAAAAAAAATGCAAAAATACAAACCCAAATCCTTACATGACTATTGTGAGGAGCACTTATTATCATAATTATGTGATTATATTGGGTAAATCTTATGTTGAGAAAAATTCCATTTTAAAACAAAAAGCAGGATAAAAGAAAAAGTGAAGAAAACATATACAAGTCAGGAATGGTGACTCACTCCTGTAATCCCTGAACTCTGTGAGGCTGAGGCAGGGGGATTGCAAGTTCAAGCCCAACCTGACCAAGTTAGTGACTTAGGAAGGCCTGTTTCAAAATAAAAAATGAAAAAGACCTAGGGATATAGTTCAGTGTGTAGGTTCCATCCCTAGTACCACCACAACAACAAGCATATGCATGAAATTATGTCTAATTTAAAAGTAAAATGCAATGAAGTCTATCACCAATATCTTAATTTTTGCTGAATTAAGTACACCATGGTCTTATTTTTTTTTGTATTTTACATATGCTGGGATGATACTGTTCAGAACTTCTTTGTTCTCTCCAATAAACTAATATCATTTCAAAATGGCTGTGTCCCAAAATTAGTTCATACTACTTTGGTGAAGCTTCCTCTCCTCACCTGTGCCATAGTACTTCCCATTCATCTCACTTTCAGAATGTCAAACAAATACTTGTTGAGATCATTGTGTGCATAACACAGCATAACAAAGTGGGGATTGGAGGTCTGGTTTCTGTCTCTTGGAAGCTTATGATGTAGTTGAGGAAGCAACATTTCAAGGATCACGTAAAAGTGAGGGCGTTGTAAGTGCTAAAGACTGCACTCTAGCGTCTCTGGATGCCAGAAGACCTCTCTAACTCTCTTACCCTGATCCGCTGAGCTCAAAACTTGCGTATTTTGTTAGGTTCCAGTTCTATCTGCTCATCTTCCTCATTTGTTACATACATTTGCAAACATTTCTTTCCATTTTTTCAAGTCACTAAAACCCCTGTTGAAGTATTTGAAGAGCCCCGATGGTGGGTTACCTGAAGATCCCAAGTCCGTGGAAAGCAGAATGACTTAATTCATTACTTCTTATTCCAAACTAAATGGTAAGTTTGAAAGTTCGCTATTTTACCACTTTAACTTCTACACTTAGACAAGCAGTGAAAGCTAGAATTATCCCGCTATTTAAATGTTACATATTGTGCCTCACACACATTAGAATTAATGTTAAATAATAAATATAGAACCCCCTTCATTTCTCAGCTTCTCAGCAAATAAGACAATGCCGAACAAATCTTTATGCAGACACAGTGGCAGGGATTCTCTAGCTGTCAGTGGCTTTCATTAAAGTTTAAAAGCAAAAGGGAAGTTTTCCTTTCTAGGTGGTGAATCATTTAACTTCTGAGTTCAGGGAAATTTAAAGTTTAAGAAGGCTAGTGTAGAAATCCCTTCTTTGCATATCCAAGCTGTTCATCTCTCAAAAGTCAAAGTGGATGCCAGAATTCCATAGATTTCATTTTTCAAGATGAACATTCATATTTGAACATATTTCAAGCCAGATGGTTTACAGTTCATGTATTTGTTGGCATTTTCCTGCCACAACAACTAAATATTGAAGACACATATTTGTGATGAGGAGCGCACTTCCAACCATCCTTTCCTGCTGCTCTTTCATGCTGTGTGCTCTGTCATCCCCCAGCCTGTCTCCATCATGTGCTGCTGGGGAGGCTCTGCAGAATCCAACAATGAATTACACCCATTTGATTTAATAGACAGGGGATAGGTGAAATAATATAAAGCAACCTTCTTGCAAATAAATATTCCTTGTAACAGTCATGAATTTTCTGGTAGCAACTATGAAAGTGAATGAACATCTATTGAAATATTCTGTTTTCATGATCCTTTTAGACAAGCTGGAAAGTTTACTTTTAATCCTTCTAGTACTTCAGAAGCAAGTTTGCCAAA